TACTTCAGATGTTGTTTGTTCATTGCTAATATATAGGCAAGCAATTGACTTTTGTATATTAACCTTTTTATTCCGCAGCCTTGGTATAATCATGTATTACTTCCAAGAGGTTTTTTTTTTTTTTTAACAGTTCTTTCATATTCTCTATGAGATGATCATGTCATCTGTGAACAAAGTTTATCTCTTCCTTACCAATCTGAATACTTTTTACTTACTTTCTTTGCCTATTGCATACTGGAAGCAAAACTTTCCAGTAGGATGTTGAAAAGGAGTGGTGAGAGGGAATATACTTGCCCTGTACCAGATATTCATGGGAAGATTTGAATTCCTCATCATTAAGTATGATGCCTGCTATGGGGTTTTTATGCATATTCTTTATGAAGTTGAGGACGTTTCCCTCTATTCCTATTTTACCCTGAATACTGATGATGAATGAGTTGAATTTTGTCAAATGTTTTCATGCATATATTGTTATGATCATGTGATTTTTCTTTTTCACCCTACTGATGTGCTGGATTACAATAATTGACTTTTGAATGTTCAACCAGCCTTACATACCCATAAGAAATCCCACATGATTGTGTGTATACACTGTTGGATTCAATATACTAACATTTTGTTGACGAATCTTGCCCATATGGCTTTGAAATTATTTCAAAATAAATTTTTTTTTTTAAATATCAGAAGTTATGCCTTCAATGATACCACTGATCTCCTTCAAGATTCCTGTTCCAGTCTTTGCAGGAGTGTTCTTAAAAATTAATCTGGAGTGACGAGGTAAATCCATAGAGACAGAAGCAGATGGATGGTTGCAAGGTAGTGTCAGTCTTCCAACAGGATGGAGGGGAAAAGAGATGACCATTTATGTTGTGGGCTTCATTTAGGGCTGATGAAAACGCGTTGGAACTAGCTAGACTTGGTGGCTGCACAACACAGTGATTACACCAAACTCCACTGAAGTACCCTTGAAATGGTTCATTTTATGTTATGTAAATTTCATGTCGTTAAAAATAATCTCAATCTCCCAGTTCATTGGGATTGACATATATACACCAATATGTATAAAATGGATAACTAATAAGAACCTGCTATATAAAAAAATAAATAAAATTTAAAAATTAAAAAAAAAAAACATAAAAGAGCCAAATGGCTTTTAGAACACCTTTGAGGAAACTTGTCACTGATTAAATAAAGTTGGTCATTTAGACACGTGAGGCAAAACAAAACACAAAAGAACATCTCCCCAAACACACTAATCCAGAGTAAACTTCTGTACTAATTGTTGATTTCCTTGGCCAACATGCTGAGCATTTCCTTCAGTAAATGTGTTGCCATTTGGTTTTGCAGGCCCATTTGGACCGGGATATCTTCATGATCTCTGTGTCTCCCGCAGCCCTCTCCCCATCCTCCGTCCCCACACTGTCCTCTCCTGGTCCTAGTGGTTTCACAGTCACCTCCCCATGGCTCTTTCCTGGGCCAGCTGGATCTCCTGCAGAGATACTGCAGATCTAGTTGGAGATCTAGTCAGAGATCCAGGAGTGCCTGCGCCGTGTCCACCTTCCGTCTCCCACAGCGGGGCCTCAGGTCCAGCAGAAGATCTTCATCAGCCTCCCTTAGCTGGTGGTCGTTGGGTGGGTGGATGCACGTCAGTCCCCATGTGGTTGGCCGGCTCCTGGCCCTCCCAGCAGGTCATGTCAGTGGAGGACACGGCGGCTCCCAGCTCTCAGTTGACCTCTGAGCTTCAGCCTACTGGCCATTTTTGTGTCATCAGTGTTTCCAGATCTTAGAAACATTACTTTTCTATTTGAACCCATGTGAGCTTTTGATTTTTCCCTATGTTATCCATATAGTCATGTGCTGAATTTCAGGGAGGTTTTTACCCAAAGGCAAAGGAACACTTCTCCAAGTGACTGGTGAGTCAACTCTGTAAGAATCACAGTTGGGAACGGGAGGACTGTAGATCACTGCCCTGTACCAGCTCAACCAGAGAGGCTCTTGAGTGACTCTAAAGTTTGAAATGACTTAGCTTTAAAACAATTGAGCCTATTTAAAATCTTTTTTTTTTTTTTTTTTTTTTTCGGTAAGCGGGCCTCTCACTGTTGTGGCCTCTCCCGTTGCGGAGCACAGGCTCCGGACGCGGCCATGGCTCACGGGCCCAGCCACTCCGCAGCATGTGGGATCCTCCCGGACCAGGGCACGGACCCGTGTCCCCTGCATCGGCAGGCGGACTCTCAGGACTCTCAACCACTGCGCCACCAGGGAAGCCCGAGCCTATTTAAAATCTTGAACCTGTTTTCATGTTTACCCTGAAGGAATTCAGAACTTGCCACCAGACAGTATGTTGATATGGCATATTGACTGTTTTGACTTAAACACACTTGAAAAAAGACAAATCCAAAACAACAACACACTCACGAGCACTCTGACCTTCTTTCTTTTTCTTAAAAACAGGAGATAAGTTGCCATTGAAATGCATCCTCCTTATGCCAGAAGGAAATAACATTCTTATCATCAGGACATAAAGTTGAGTCCAGAGAATTCTATACACAGAGACCTTGATAAAATAATTCTAATTATCTTGTCTTCCTCACATAGTGTAATTACTTTTCCACCATTGTTTCTCTTTGTTGAAACACATATAAAAGCAAGTAGGTTTCCCAATTTGGGGGGGGGGGGAATTCACATGGCGTCATTACTTACAGTGCAATCATTCTGGCAAATATATTCTGGCAGCAACTATAATGTAAATATTCATGCCTTGATTTGTTTTGGTGTTAAGTCTTTTCCCTTAATATTAATAGTTACAACTATGTTCAATGAAGCATCTACCACGTACAAATCATTATAGCATTTTATAAACATAATCCTATTTAATACTTACAAACCTTTCCCCCCCCCCCCCCCCCCCCCCCAACCACTACAAACCAAACCTAATTCCAGTTCAGCAGACTTTGTCTCCAGGGAGGACGTCAATCTGCTTCCCTGTGTTAGAGAAAAGAGTCAGAGGCACATTACAGATGCAGTTACAAACTGAGAACAAGTGCAAAAGGAAAAGCCCTGGGCCTCATCTGACTGCTCCCCGTTCCCGCAAAGCGCAGCCCAGGGTGGGCTCAGTGCCCGCGGCTTTGCGGAGGCAGCCCGTTTGTAGTTTCCAGCCGGTCCTCCTGAAAAGGATAGACACCTCCCAAATGGCTTCTTCTCTCTCTGAGCTAGACCTTCCCTCCACAGAGAAGTCAAAGCAGGACTAGCCTTCCTTCCAGGAATCTCTTCCTGAAACGGACATCCTGTTAGAACGGGGTCCTGTGACTCCAGCCACCAGGGGCGCTTGCCCACTAGACACTTTCCCTTTTCCACTTCTCCCGCAGGCAGAGACGTCACTGTGCTCACACACTGGAGAGTGAACATCAGTGGTGCTGGCCTAGCTCCTCACACAGTGCTGGAAGACGTTATCCAGTCCACCCCAGATGTGCGCGTGCGTACACACACACACACACACACACACACGTCATGAAGGCCCATATGCTTTTGTAACTCAGGGTCTTGATCCAGTCCTGAGGTCTTCTCACCCATCTGGTCTTGGCTCCTAGAGACCAAAAAAAAAAAAGACCAGACACTAACCTGAGCTAAGGGCAGTCCCCCAAATCCTGTGTCCGGGGCATCACCTTGGCTACTGCACTTCGGCCTGGTCTCCTGCCTGCTTCTCCATCCTGTCTGCTACATTGTATGGTTGTCATGGGAACCTAGACCCCAGCTCCCCACTAGCCCTGCTGCCCAAAGTTTAGGTTGACCAACCCTCCTGGTTAGTCGGGGAACAGAGGGGGTTCTCAGGACAAGGGGCAGCAGTGCCAAACCAAGAAGGTCCCAGGAAAATAAGGGTGAGTGGTACCCTCCCAAACCAGGGTGATATAAATGAGCCTCCAGCAGCCAAAGGACAGGGGACAGAGGTTTTAGTGGTCAGATGGCCAACCGCATGCAGCGGTGTCAAGCAGGTCCCCTGTCAACCTAGCGGGAGATGCTTTTACACAGATGTTAAAGGCTCCAACTTCCTGTTCTTCCTGACCCTCCACCAAGTCTACTCCACACTTCACACCTCACGGGAGGCCATGTGGGAGGGAGCGAACATTGCGGGTCTCTGTCGAGAGTTTTCTGTCCTGTTTCCCCCATGAGCTCCTGACATTTCACCCTCTCAGCCCACACCCCAAGCTCAACACTACGCCAGGCCCCTCGGGCCAACCTCAGCCCTCCTACAACTACCTGCTCCATCGAGGACACGTACAAGAAGGGAATGTGCTCAACTTTGCCTCCCATGCCCTGCATACGGAGGCTGTAATGGGAACAGGGAGGGGAGGCAGGTTGATGTGGGCATGGCTGTCTGCCCATCACAGCCGCCTTGCCCGTGAAGACCCCCAGGGGCTGCACGTGGAGGATGCAGTGAAGCTGTCTCAGCCCCATCTGTCCACTGCTCACTTCACACTCTCTTCTGCCTCAGGGGCATGACAGGGCAGGGCCCCGCCTTTCTCACTCCTTGTGGGAGCCCACGATACCTGTCTACCTAACATGAAGGGATCAATGCTTAGATGTGACAATGGAAACAGTGACCAAACCAACACTTCCTTTGAAAAAGTTCTTTATTTGGCTTGTCCTATAATAAGAAAAGGCTAAGATATACACCACAGGCCAAAGAAGCTGGTTCATAAAAAGTCAGAAAAGAAATTCTATCTAGAACAGGCGCTGCTGCTTCTAGTGTGCGGCTCACTGCCTCACGTGGCATTTTAGGTTCCAGCACCTGCTTGCCTGACATTTTGTCCCAGCACCAAGTCTGTGTTTCTGGGAAAACCTGCTCCCATCTTTCTCACCCCCTCCTCCACCACCCACCACTGTGCACCTGGGCCAGAGTTGGGTGCTCTGTGTGCCAAGCTCTGGACACTGGTTTCTTCCCTCCTCTTACAGGCTCCAGAGCAGGGGGGCCTGTGTCTGAGCACCGCGCATGTTCTCCTGCTTCACATCCTAGAGCTCAGACGCTGGCCATGGGCAGCACGGGTGCCCCTCCCCAATGTGAAGGCTGCTACAGCCAAGAGCACGACCAGGAAGACCCCAGCAAGGATGGTGGCGCTGTGGTAGCTCCCCTGGGCGCTGGCCTCCTCTTCCAGGTCAACCTCTGGCCGGTCTGGGAAGGAGAGGGGAGAGAAGTGAGGACGGGGGTCCCCTGGCAGGGTGATGGCAATCAGAACTGTTTGATGGGCGAGGAAAAGATGGGAGAAAAGGGTACGTTTCAGGAAACTGAGGTCAGAACCCAAGGAGCAGCTGAGTGTCAGCCCTGGCAGATTTCACAGTGTCTTGTCAGCCAACAGGAGCAAAGAAGGTTTGTGGACAGGAAGTCAGAGCTGGGCTTTGGCCTGAGATATCTGGCTGAAGGCTCCCGATGGATGTGAGGAGAGTGAGTTGGGGCATTTGAGCCCATCTGGGAAATGGGCACAAAGGTCCCAGCAAGAGGGACGCCGGACTTAAGCTACCGCAGTGTCAGTGGGAAGAGAAGGGAAAGGAGAGACAGGAGCAGAGTCCCCATCGGCCGCCTTTGCCCCTCCCCCTGCCCTGCCTTCCTTCTCTCTTGTAGCTCCAGCCCCCATGGTGTGTACCATGCAGGTGACTTATGGCCGCACTGTGTCCCCTCCCACTGGAATGGAGGCTCCTCCGGGCAAGGATTTTGATGTATTTAGCTCTCTGTCTCCTGGCACATAATAGGTCTTCCAAAGATGCCTGGAATGTTGCAGATGGGAGGAAAGAGCCTGGAAGCAGCCAGACTTCCAGGGGAGGGCCTGGATCTGGGCCCTGAGGGGAGAGAGCTGTCAAAGATCCTCTGTGGGGTGAAGCCTGTGACTGCGGGAGGATTTGTGACTAGCGCTGCCCCATATCTGCCCCTGTCACCAAGGCCACCACATTTGTTGACCTGGCCCGGCCTGGACCAGAAATCATGGGAATCCCTCGGCAAACATTTCCTCACCCACATGTACAACAGAACAGCACAGTGGGAAATCTGCTCCCCGTTCTAGATGGGGAAAATGAAATGACTTTTCCAGGATCAACCCCTGGGAGCCGTGAGAATAAACCAGTCCTGCCTGGATCTACACGGCCCTGCCCAGACCCTGATTGCCTGCGCTACTCCAGGGCTACAGTTTGTCATCATCATTATAAGTAATAATGTGATGATTAATGTTAACATTGGTGGCAATAACGATAGTAACAAAATCATCGTTCTTTGCAGCCAGTGGCTTATACCAGGCAGGTGCCAGAGCAGCGTAACTAACAGTATTTTGTGTAACCCCCTCAACAGTCCTAAGAGGTTAAGTGTTAACGTTTTTGTTGTACAGATGAGTGTGAGGTTGGGTATTCAGAACCCAGAGGGTAAAACTGTCAGGTGTTCTGTGTCCCACATTAGAACTGTCTTGACCAAACCCTGCACGCGCATCCCCCATAGACCAAGGAGCTCTTGGAAGGTGAGAACCAGGTCTAGCTCCGCTTCGTGTCGCCCAGGGCAGCACAGGAGCCCTATTCGAGGGGAAACGGGACACCCACGGAAGCAACCCCAGTCCCCATGGTGCACCGGCCTGCGCCCCGGCAGACGGCGCGGTGGGGAGATGGCCACCTACCCAGGCTCCTCTTCTCAGCATGCGGGACATGCAGCTGGATGGGTCCCAGGGCGACATCCACCTTCTCCTGGTAGGAGCCCACGCCCCTCTTGGTCCTCACGATGCAGCCTCTGCTGCAGCGGGACGAGGCATCGTACGCCCTGCACACCACCATCTTGCACTGCAGGTACACGGAGGGGAAGCGGCTCAGGAAGCGGAAGGAATTGAACTTGAAACGGAGGACGTTGGGTGAGGGCTGGTGGTAGGACCGGTAGGTTTCATCCTTCACGCACCTGGAGGAAGAGAGGGGTCACCGTCAGCTCTCAGCAAGGCACTGCGCTCCTCACGCCACACACCCCGTGGGCTGGGCACCCTCCTCAGAGGGTGGCGGTCACCGGACCGCCTGCTGCCTTCACAACCTTCCTTGTGGACCACCTGCTTGGCATGCTCTTTGTTCCTCCTTCCTGTTTAATCCTTCCAACAGGCTGTGATATGGGCTTCACTACGCTCATTTGATGGCTGCAGAGACTGGCTCAGAGAGGTGCTATTGCCTGTCCAGAATGATGCAGCTGGGACGGGGCAGAGCTGGCATCCCAACCTCCATCTGCTTTAAAATCAACGTTTTCCCACTACAGGCATGTCTTTTTTAATATTAAGGCTTGCCTGGAATTTAGTCACTCGGTCTAATTTTACTTCATAGCTAACCTGCTCGATGGCCACTCAGTTCTCCAGATGCCCAGAGATGACAGCCTGGCTGGTTAAGCTGGAGCTACTGGGAGCCCAATCTGCCTTCCTTGAGCTCTGGGCTGGTTGTGTGTGAGTTATCAGGTAGAGGCTGAAGTCCACCCCATGAAGACACTCCTTACCCACTCCGGATGAGATCATAAGTCAAAGATGTAAAGTCATCGGGAGATGGTGACGCCACACAGGTGTCCACAAATAAGGCCAGGGAGGCGTTAGAATGGAGGATTTCAGCCTGAAGGTACAAATCCTGGTTCAGGTCCACATAGTATGGGCTGCTGGTCACGGGATATAAGAATGAAGAGGATGTATAAAAGGAAATGTTCATGTAAAAATTGCTGTATTGTATGTTCTTGACCTCGACGGTGTCATTAGCAATGTACATCGTGTTAACCCAGGTGTTCTGGAGCATTTTGCAGCTGACGTAAATGTGGAGGTCCTTCCTCCTCTTGATGATGCCACTCGAAACAGCTGCTTTGAGGGAGTTGGAGTAGGTGATGGTATCATTATCCACCTGGGAGAGACAGGCAGGTGAGCAGAGTCAGGCAAACGTCACCTACTAAGGGAATCTCATTGCTGCTTTGGGTGAGAATGAGACTGAAGAGATGCTGCAAGATTTCAAAACCTTCCCAGAACCACACGGAGACAGCACGTGCCTATCACCATGGCTACCGTTCCCTGGGATGGATACACTTCACCAGCAAGACTCTCTCCTTTCACACAACCCCTTTCCTCTGCCACATGATGGGGACCACAGTGTGTTGGGGCCTCCCAGGAGCTGCTGCTTATGGAAAGATGGGGGTGTCTGGATGACCCCCTACCCCTGCTGTATGACTAAGCTGAGTTTGGTCTCCATGGCTCAGGGTCCTTCTGGCTTGTTCTATCTCATTCTCACTCTTGCTGGGAGAAATCAGAGGAGGCAGTCATGGGAGGGGCTAGTGGGATTCGTTTTCACTGTGCTGTTTGGATGGGTCAGTAGTTATTGCAGTTTGGTGTCTGAAGCTGCCGGAGCCTGAAGCAACAGAGATCCAGAGTTATGGCTGCGGCAGGTCTCTGACCTCTGGGGCAGGAAATTCCCCAGAGGCTCATATGGACAACAAGGTGGTGGTGGTGTGTGTGGGGGTTGGAGTGGAGGCCATGGCAATGCTGGAGCACTTCCTGTCACGCTTTGCTTCTCCACTCCCCAAACCACAGGACCATTTCCTGCTGTGCCTTTCATGGAGCAGCAAATTCATAAGAATGTTGGTCTCTCATGCTGTTTGATGTGCCTACCGTCTCATAAGAGTGACCTTTCCAGAGACAAGAGTCTCACACCTGGTGGTCTGTAAGCATTTCAAGGAAAGGGTGATGTCTGAGCATCTCTCTTTTCCCGGGGCTTGGTGTAGTGTTAACTATAGCATCAGTAGCATCAATAAAGATCCATGGAATGGAGGAAAGGTCCAGGGGACAGAAGTCCAGCAAAAGTACTTGTGATGAAAGAAGGATGGTGCCAGGAGCAACCAGCCCAAATGGCCAAGAGGACACAGGTGAGCAAACGCCCCTGGAGGCCCCATGGTCATGATCATCTGGCCGCAGGTGAGGTGAGCACAAGAGCAGCATCCCCAGGTGGAGACTGGGGGTGGTGCACTCTCTCCCTCCCAAATGCTGTGATGGTCATAAGCAAACTTGTCCTTGCCTGGTACGAGTTCCCACCAGCCGTGGGTGCCTCTGCAAGAACAGGCACAAAAATAACACCATAGTGGCCTAAATAGAAGCCCTAAAATGTAAGACAACCTTACTCTTTAAAAAAAAAAATAATAAAAATAGGGGCTTCCCTGGTGGTGCAGTGGTTGAGAGTCCGCCTGCCGATGCAGGGGACGCGGGTTCGAGCCCCGGTCCGGGAAGACCAGGGAAGCTCTTTTATAGATTCTTGAATCAATAAAAGTTAGCTGAGAGTAAGAGACCTGAGATCTGAGGTCAGGAGGGAGAAAGAAAAGATTTCCAGTCATCAGCTGTGGTGAAACAGGTCCTGTCAACTCCATAGCTTAAATCATGATACTCAAACTTTGTGGTTCAGGCAGAGCTTCTCTGAGCAATTTTCAAAGAAGAAACAGTGTGATTGTATCAGATGAGTAAAATTAAAACTAAAGTTTGGTGGTGAGGATGCTATAGTGTACACAGAAGTAGAAATATAATGGTGTACACATGAATCTTATATAATGGTATAAACCAATGTTACTTCAATTAAAAAAAAAAAAAAAGAATAGCAAGTTTGTCACTGTCACTAAATGTCATATGACATTTAGTTATATACCCTGTCAGGAGCAAAAGTTCATTCCTGGACATTTGGGAAATTAGACAAGTTCCCTTCTGAAGCCAGCACTTGTACAACTAAATGTAATTATTCTTTAGAGCAGCATGTGTTGGAGAGGCTTTCACTTCATGTCTAAAGTTGCAAAATTCAGCTCTGAGTTTGTCCCTTCCAGAAAGACATGTGAAAAGAGAAAAGTTTAACAACTATCTAAAGTGGACTTGCCACCCTGGGACCCTTGCCTACTCTCTGACCGTGGGTTTCCCTTTTCTCCCGTCAGAGGGAGGCTCTGGCCTGCAGGGGGCGCCAGAGCCCACACTTTGGACTCAGGTCTGGCAAAGGGCCTAGGATGGGCTCTATGCCTTCCATTCCTTCATGGGCAGTACACTGTATTTTCTGCCTTTATATTTTCTTTAAAAAAGTGGGGGGAGCTTTATATTGGAGTGAGAGTGGTTATCGCAATATACCATATAAATGTTGCCACTTTGTTACTCCTTCAAAGACAAGCTGAGGTGCCTTCAATTGAGCTCTGTATATTCACATGAAAGTGTTCTTGAATCCACATTTGCCTGTGGTTTCCATGGTCAAGCTAGATTCTGAATGCACGCCAAACAATGAAAGTGGGCTGCAGGTGTATTTCTTGATCATCAGAAGCTGTTCTGATTTTAAATTAAAATTCATTTTTAGACGTCTGCTCAGTGTACAAGGCACTTGGGATGGAGTGGGAGTCTGGCAGACATGTCAACGGCTATTCCATAGAGACTCGGCCTCTTCCGCCTGGCATCCCACTCCTGTGGTGGGGAGACCTTGCCTATTCAGACACACGAGCCAACGTTTGTCAGACACCCACTAAATGGGGCACCTGGAGGAGATGCAGAAAGTCTCAGCTACGGATCATACCGTCCTGCCTTTTAATGCCGGCTCTACAGTTCATGATCATGTGGCCTTGGGCAAGTGGCTTAACCTCTGCAAGCTTCCGTTTCCTCACAATTAAATGGGAATAGAAGTTGTCTCGAGAATTTTGAAAGTCTCGTGGAACTCTTAGTTCAGTGCCTGGCACACATACTAGCCCTTAATAATATGATTATAAAGGCTTAGGCTCCACACCAGGGGTACTGGCAGTTGCAAAGATGAATGAAACATTGGCCTTCCCTGGAGGCACGGTTTGCTAAGGGATAAGCAGAGGAATCAGAATGTAGCCTGTGCTGCCCATGACCAGCCAGGTTAGAAGACCAGGGCTGGCCCATGGCTTTGGCAGCTCCTACTGGAGATGAAGGAACACAGATAGGATGGCTCAGATGTCAGAGGCTCCAGGCTGCATATTTGGAACTGGGAGGGATGGGTCACCTTTGGTAGACTGATTCCCACTGAGGAAACTCAGGACAAACCAGAATCCAACACGATTGATTGACAGCGCGAAATGTAAAAGCCAGGTCGACTAGAACGTTTGCAGGGCGTGACTCATCTGTACCCTCCTCTGCATATAAGCCTCCCTGACCCACTCAGCTCCTATCAGAAGGAGATCTGGTGTCTGTAGGGACTGTCCAATGGGAGCTGGGGGGCCACAGTGGCAACTGCAGACCCTCGGGCCCAGGCACCCACCTGTGGCTGACAGGCCCATCTGGTTAGCTAAACGAGTGTCCCCTCCCTCTCTCACGGTTCCTTGTGACCTTGCCAGATAATGAACAGCACGTTCATAGCACCTAGCCTGGCACGCGGCAAATGTACGGTACGTCTTTGGTGACGGGCAAACAAACCCTCTGATCGTGTGTGTCACACACATTGTACGTATTTGAACCTTTTGTGCTGTATATTTATACTGCGGTCCTAAACCTAATACAAGTATTTGCACTGTGTCTGTTCCCTGACAGACAAAATCTTGAAGTGATTACTTAGGTGTCAGCCAAAAATTCAGAACTTAGAGTGCAGAGTTTAAAATGAATTTACATAAAATTAAATGCAACAACTCTAAGTTTACCATTCAGTGGGGTTTGACAGTAAAAGACTCAACACTCTCATTAATTCAAACAGCTCCATCCTGCCCCTTCGCAGGCAGTCCCCTCCTACCAGGTCAGCTCACTATGTACACAGATTTCATCGAAATGACATCACAGGGTGGGTAATCTTGCGTGCCTGGCTTCTTTCACTCAGTGCCACATTTTTGAGATTCTCAGAGTCTGGTCTTGGCCCTACCGCTTCCTGGCTAAGTAGCTTTAAGCAACCTGCTTGACCACTCAAAGCCCAGTCTCCCTGTTTTTCAAGCAGGATGACAATGAGGGGAGACTTGCATCATCTTGGTGGGGATTTGGGGGAGTTTGACACAGACTAATCTCAGTGTCTGCCACTTGTAGGGGGACAGGATTAAGGAGTTTCCTGGGACATGAGACTTCTCCATGCTAAAATCTGCAAAGTCCCAGGTCAACCAAGACAACTGGTCACCCCAGGTGGTGACAGCTCAACAAATGATAGCTGCAGAGGCCAATTTACTGTGAAGCTAATGAAGGTTAAGCTTCAGGGCCCCCCTGCACAGGCTCTTCTGGGGCTCAGCAATGCACTGGCACAGCCATGTGTTTTTGTAAGATTTCTAAAACTAAGATATGCTTGCATTCTTTCCATGAATGAGGCACCTGCCTCCCTTGCCCACCCCAACACCAACCTGTATAAGCTCCAGGCCCTTCAGAACCTGGAGCTGCCCCTGGGAGCTGCTATCGCTCTTGCTGAAGTGATAGCAGCCTGCCAGGCACCCTCTCTGGTGGACAATGTGAGAAAAACTCCCCACTGACTTTCCTTCCTTCTATTTGGACATGGCTGCAGCTATGTCATGGCACCAAGGGATGGATTTAAATCTTCAGCCTGATTACGTTCTGGTTATACCATAATCGTGTTTTCTGGGTCCCCAGAATTCAAAAAGCACAGCGCAGAGCACTGTAAGAAAGCTGGCTCAGCAGAGGGAGAAGCTCCAGGCTTACCTGCTCGATGGTGCCACAGCCAGAGTAGGGAACTGTGAAGGTCACCTGGCTTGAAGTAATCTGGGGCTGACACCGGTAGCTCCTGTTCCAGCCAGGAATGGCAAGGTCCCTGGCAGAGTAGCCCAGGGACTGGAGGTAGCCCACGCTCACAGTGGCTCGCATGTGATTCTGCAGGCAAAGCAGCTCTAGGGGCCGAGGGCAGACAGTGCGGTCAGTGTCAGCGCCCCCCCCCCAAGCGCACAGAAAAGTGCAGAGATTGAGATGGCTGGCAGATGGTCTGCCTGAGGACACAGCTCACCACCCTGCCAGGTGCCCTGGGGCTCAAGTCAGTTTCACTCTCCTGAGACCCCTTGAGGGCCCAGGGACTAGGATTTCTCTGATGGAGAAGTGAAGGCAGGGTGTGAAACAAGCAAAATGTTTTGCCAAGTTGCCGCTTATCCATATAGTAAAGTAACGCTCGGGTTGAATTGCGGGGATGTCAGAAAATCAACATCCTTAGCTATGGACCTAAACATAGGTCCTTTAGCTAAGGGGCAGGTCGGTGCTTAAGATCCTGACCTCAGGATTTTAAAAGAGAGCCAGTACCTCACCTTGCCCGGCCCCTGGCCAATCTGTACATCAGTCCACTTAACAGCTCAAACCGTGGCCATCAGCCTCTGCTGGACGTGGCTGAGCAGCCAGCTCAGACCATCTTCAGGCAGCAGCCGAATGTGCTAGGTCTCAGGACAAGGTCACAGTGTCCCACACTCTGGGAAGGCCACAAGGCCTCAAGCCAGGTGATCCCCTCTGCCCTTGACACTGACATCTCACTATCTGTTGAAAGCAACACCTTGCCCTTCTACTGAATCTCTGCTGACCACCCACGCGCCACCCATCGGCCATGTCTGGGAGCCAGAGTCCCAAGACCCACTGTTCTTGGTCCCTTTCTTCACCGGATCGAGCCTTGATGACCTGAAAAGGCGGCCATCACTTCTCATCTCACAGCCATGGGATGGCTGAGCAGCAGAAGTCACTCCGAGGGGCCCCATCCAGACAGACGGGGACTTACTTGTGCTCCCAGGGAAAAGGCTGGAGTAGTATTCAGCCTGGAACCCTCTCATCTTGACACTGCCATTGCTGATGAAGCGAATGGACATGAAGTTGGATGACGAGGTGAAGGAGCCCCTTGCCCCATCACAAACCCGGGCGAGCAGAGGGGAGCTGTGGTAAGGGCCGTCATACACTTCTATATAATCGTAGTTACAGCTGCCTTCAAGCCTGCAGAGACAAAACACACAGTTCTGGCTTCACTTTTTTTTTTTTTTTTTTTTTTTTTTTTTT